AATTCCATTCACAAAAATTCTCTAAAAATCCACAAACCTCAACATTCATCCATAAAGTGCAGTCACAACCACATATTCAAGATCTAAGCATTCTTTTATGAGCAGCAAAAAGAACAAACAAGCCAGAACAGAGAAAAAGGTTAAATTGAATCGACACAAAAAAAAATGCAAATGGCACTTTAAATTGATTAATGACGCGCGCGGTTTTTGTATAATTTTTTTATTCTCAATCATCGTGAGAAGGTACTGAAACTAGCAACAATAAAAAATAATATTCAAATTAATATGAAGACAAATAAAATAAAATAAAATCAGAAGAAAAAATCGTAACTGAAAAATTGTTTGTATTCGATTATGTGCTGGTGTGGCCTTCAAAGCTAATTTTTTAACTGTTTGTCGCTGTTGTCATTATCATCAGTGCTTTTTGGACATTATTTTTTTATTTTTTTTGTTAAATACAGCATAAGGAAATGACGTTTTTCTTTGCATTGAGTACAGTCATCAAGGAGAAAAAAAATAAAAAATATATTTTTTGTCGTGCATTAATGAGTGTCATTATTGAGCTTGTTAGTTTTTTGGTGGCTTTGAAGTAGACGTAGATTGAATTTTTGAGTGATTAGTCGGTGTCGAGTAAATGGGCTTTTTTGGATCAGTTTTGATGATTTTTTGTGGTCGCTTGAATTTTATTGAATTTTTTGAGGTGATTTAAGGAAGTTTTGCTGAATTTTTGACAATATGGTGGAATGCATGAAGTCAAAAATTCTTAAGTCGGTACAATAATTTCAAAGCTAGTAGCATGGCTGCTGGAAGACAATTAGGGTTCATCCAAGAGCTTAATATACGCTAAAGCTCCATTTAACCTCTATGTAACTCCGGATAACCCTCCATAACTCTTTTTAACCCCCTATAAAATCATAAAATAATACATAACTATCTATAATTCCCTTTGACTCTCTGTGATTACCTATAAGCCCCTATAAAACATTACAACTTCCTATAACCCTCTACCAGCTCTCAAACCTATCAAAAAATCACAAAAAAAATCGCCACTAGCCTAAAACAACTCGAAAAACTTCAATTTATTCACTGCTACACATTACATTATCTACCTTCGTTGGCAACAACGCAGCAAGTCTTTATATATTTTTTTACAACTCAAATCATTCCGTACACCGAAAAAAATTACACAATTTTTACACACAAAACCTCCGGTGTGTGTTGAATTTTTTTTTTCCTCTTCGTATTTTTTTGTTCACATTTAGAATGGTGAGTGAGAGAGATAGAGAATACGCGGAGAAGTAATCAAGGTCATTTATATATCTTGTAATAATACTTTATGATTGTACATTTACAGACCTAGTATCGCGCACTTTTTTCATGATTTGAAAAATAAATGTACTTTAAGTAATTGAGATTATATTTGTGCGTATCTCATCATCATCATCACCGTCATCAACGATCAACTTTACTTCTTCTTATTCAATCATTTATTTATTATTGTATACACATGCACATATACGTCTTCTTACATCTATTTCTATGATATTTATTGTTTGGGTTACAATAATGTGTAATCGAGTAGAAAGATAATGAATTGATAATTGATGTGAATGTCGCACTGCTTCACCCTTCAACAAATAATATTTTTTTTTTGCTACTTCTGGATTTTTTTACTTCCTTTAACTAGCTTTGAATCTTTTTTTTTTTTTTGTTATTATGCAGATTTCGAGAAGGGAATTTAAATTGCTCAGGTAGAAAATTTCATTTGTGATGAGTAAATTTGAATTTTTAATTGAAATTGAAGAGAATTAAATTATGATGAATTAAAATTGAATCATTGAATTATTTTTTTTTGTGAGATATTGATGCTTTTAAGGGCAGTAAGGTAGTTTGAATTGAGAAATATGGATCAGGGGTCGGCTTTAAGGAATTAAATTTGATTTACAACAAGAATTATTAATAAAATTTATTGAAGACTAGGAACCAGACCAAGATAATCGTGCAACTTATGATTAACAATTTGTTATATAGTAAATTAAGCCCTGATAGCTCAGTGGTAGCAACATGTGACTGAACATTTTCTCTTGACGTGAGTTTGAGTCCCACAGAAGATCTGATATTCAAACTTCCACATTTTCTATTAGTTTGTCATGTAGAAGTTCGATTCCTAGCTTCAAGATGATTCTAATCTAATTTAACATCGAATGGAAGTCCCAATAAAAACTAAGATCCACTTGCCCCGTCCATGAATTATAAAAATCAACTATAAATCACAGTTAAGATTCAAAAACCCATCAAAAAAACATTTAAATTCACACCAAAAAGTGCTGCGTGGACAACACAAAAATATTTTATCGACCAAATAGTTTGCAGATGTTTAGTTTATTTTGACAACAAGCAATTTTTATGTGGCAAATTTATATTAAATAATTTATGCATCTTTTGAATAAATAAAACTCATCTCAAATCCTAGTTTTTTAAAACAACAAAACAAAAACAAAAATTTGTTGACAGAAAAAAATTCAATCAACAAGAAAAAAAAAATTAATTTTGTTAAATGGAAAAATTCCAAAGCAGAACACGTGGTCCAAAAGCTTACAAAGCATCCAAAATTGACTGAACGCATTTTTTTCGTTTCTACATCTACGCATTTATTTTATTCTGTTTGAGCTTCGTCTTTGCAATTTAAGACGGTGATGAATTTTTTTTCTATTTATCATGAGTAGTTTTGGGGGTCGTTGGCAAATGATGTCTATTAGAATTATGCATTGAGGTTGCTAAGGCATTGATACGTCGCCGTGTTAATTGAAAAATGTTATGTAGTCAAGAGGGTGCTTATGGCTGCTGTTTGAGGGCAAATAGGTGATAATTTGGTGCAGTATGTTGCTGAAGATTGCTGCACTAATGATTCTTGTACCATTGAACCTATTGTGGCTTGATCATATGGTCAAATTGGGTCTCTAGCATTTTTTTAAACACCCCAGACCCCTACTTTTCTACAAAAATCTTAAACATCATCACTGAACGGCCCATCATCAACTCAACAACAACAACATAACCAGCATAAGAAGAACTAGCGAATTGATTAGTTTTTAAAAAGTCTGACCATCAACAGAGAATTTTTACTTCTTCTTTTTCGCATTCTTTTTAGAAAAAGATCATTAATTTATTACGTGAATGGCATAAATTTCAATTCCATATCAATTTTTAGTTTATTCTCTATTTTTTCTATCCACAACCACAAATGCAAAAAAATATAAAAATTATAGTTTAAAGAAAAATGATTTCGGGCTTAAAAAGAAGTGATAACCTTACATGAGTGTTAGTTGCAGAACTCGTAAAGAAATAGCGAAAAAAAAATATAAAGATTGAACATTAAACTAATAGAAATAATATGCTATTCTTCTTCTTCCACATCATCTACGCGACCGTCCAATGCGTCGTCTTTCAATTTTTCACATTCCTTTATATGTATAATAACATACATATGTGTATGCTTAGATGCCATCACCGCTTCTATTCAATTCTTTTAACTATTTGAAATTTTTTTTTGTACCCCGGCAATTGATGATGAACTCTACGAGAAGGAATTCTTTTTTATGATCCTCAACTTTTTTTTATAGACGAATTTATGAATGAAGAAATTTTCGCGATTTACGCTTCGTATTGTTGACGCGTATATTTTTTTCTTGCCTTTTCCCCTCACCCTTCTTTAATTTTTTTTTTATTATGGTAAAAAGTAAATGTGAAAGAGATTCTCAAGGATTTTTGTCTGAGGACCTTTTTTTTTCGGGAAATAGGTGATGTAAAGTGAAATGTGCAGTTTATTTGAGGCTGACTTGGGCTTATTTTTTTTGAGGTTATGTTTATTTGAGATTTATTTTATTTTTATTGAGTTGTGATTTGCTTTTGATGTAGATTTGTATTATTATTCTGATTGTAATTAGTTTGAGGAATTTTATTAGATTTGAAGATTAGAAATTAGATTGCACAAATTAAGAAAATCAAAGAGAATTTAAGAATAAGACTAGCTTTATAAATTTACCAAAAAAACTTTTAAATGTGGCTAAAGTTGGCAGTTCATCAACATTTAAAAACTTTATCTTATGGGCCGTTACTTATGACATCTAGGGAGGGGGGTCAGCAAGAAAAGAACTATAGAAATTTCTGAAAATCAATTTTTTTTTTGTAAAATGACCGTTAATTTCGGACGTCATAAGTGAACGATCCCTTTGCCAATTTTACAAAAAAAAACGAATAAGAGTGAGTACTGAATATTTGTTAACTTTAATAGGATTTGAACCTTAAAATGTCGAAATTTGTTTCGTCAATCTTTCAATTCCATTTGGATTTCTTAAAAATCATTTGACAAAATGTAATATATAAATAAAATAAACAGTTTTTATATAGAAATTCAAAGGAAATTTCAAATTTTTCTAGATTTTTTGGCAACTATTCGTTCTCGTTTGTTTCAACATGACTTAACGCACTTTATTGCACAACATTCAAGTTTATTTTAGAAAAAAAAAACCTATAAAAATCATATTTTAATCAAAAACATTCAAAAGTTCTCAAAAATCATCGAAATTATCGCTAAACAGTCAAAAAACTCCTCTCACGATCATCAAACTCAATGTCATGTTCATAAAAAAATGCGTATTCATCATCACAGCCTTTTTTTTCAAAATTCCCAACTTATTTTCATTCTTATAAGAATTCATGCACATCAAATAAATCTCTTGATGACCCTGAAGACGATTTTTCATCTCTCAAATTTCTTTAATTCACAAAAATAAAATTTTTTGTGTGTAGAAAAATAAAATTAGCCACGCCAAATGTTTTTTTCATCATCTTGACTATTTTCAAAAAAAAAAATATAGTAATGCGTGTGTGCGTTTCGCACTGCTGCTATTTTTAAATGAGAAATTCTGTTGTCTCAAAAAATATTATTCTGCTGGTTTTAAAAAAATAAGTTTTTAAATTTGTATGGACATACGCACCTTTATCAAAATGTGTGTGTTGCGTGTAAAAATTTCGCTTATCAAAAAACTCTTTTTTTTTGTCGTTTCTCTTCTTAAAAATGTCTTCAATTCGAAGTGTGTTTTTCCTTCGAAAAAGAAAATTTTTTTTTCTCGCCAAAATTCTTTTACTGCTTGTTGCTTTTCAAATCGTTGATGCTTGTTGTGATGATCTTATCTTTGTTGTTGTTTTTGTTTTCTCTCTCTTTTTGAGGGTGTCGAGGGATGAACTTTTCCCTCCGTAAACAAATTTTTATTTTGTTTGTTTGTTTTTCGATTTGAAAAATAATAAAAATTTTGAAATTTTTTGTTTTATCTCAAAAATTGATTAATTCCGAAATAATGTTTTTGAAATTTTGAATAATTTTTGCCAAAAAGTTTAGTTTCGTTAACGATGTTGTGATGTCTCATTCACGAAACTTTTTTGCCATTTGTGTGTGTGTGTGGACAAAAGTTTTATGTTTTGTCGAATTTTTTTTAAATATATTTTTTAAGCCAAAGATAAATTTTTTTATATATTTTTTTTTCACAAAATGCACAATCCAAAAAGGGGTGAAATTAGCCGAAAACTATCATTTAATATTCACATCAAACTGTTTGTGTTCATTTTTTCCATCAGTTTTCATTGTTTTATGCACTTTCGTCCAGTTGTGATGCACAAATTTTTTTTATATATACAAAAATTCACAAACTGCCTTAAAATGAAGCACAAAAGTCACAAAATTTTTTTAAAGATAATTTTGAGTTCTCTTTACGCGACGAGAGAAAAAAGCGGAAGAAAATGTGTTGTAAAAGTTTCACTTTCGTTGCATGAATTTTTTTTTCTTCTTCCTTTTTCCTCAAGAAATCCTTTTTCGTCGTTTCAAAACAAAAAAAAAATCCTCACCGACCGTACCGAAATATTTTTTTATTTATTTTTATTTTTCGTTTACAATTTGCAGAAAATTTTCTTCTTTCAAAAAATGCAATGCACTATTTTTATTTTTATTTATTTTCATCAACTTTAATTAAATTTTTTTTTCTTTTCTTTCTTTTTTTTGCATTTAATTATTTATTTTTTTCATTTATTTTATTCTTAATTTTCACGTTTAATTCCGCCTTGATTTTGTAATTTTTTTTGTAGCAAATTTTTATGATTCAATGAAAAATTAAAATAAAAAATTTTAGTGCACTGTTCACTCCCAAATGTTCAAAAACCGAATAGTCAAAAGTGAATCAAATTCAAGCTACAACCAAAAAAACTTTTTTTTTTATTATTTCAATATTTTTCGGTAATAGATAAAGAGCGAGAGAGAATTTTTCAACAATGTGTGCCTGTAAATTGTGTCTATATTGGTGAATGTATATCGTGGCGGCAGCATTCTTATAGCTGTATGCGTTATGTACTTCTTATGCCGCACTTCGCATGGTGCGTTTTTCGTCAATTTCGTAAATGGGAAGCACACACAATACTGAAAAAAAAGAGATGAAAATAAGTCTTGGATGTGTGCGTGACATTTAAAAAAGACACACAAAAATAAAATTTTTTTTTGGAGAGCCGAAAAATTTCTTCAACTACACTCAAATCATTGCCGAAAAAATAAATTTTTTGCTGTGCGAACAGCCATACACAACATCATCATCATCAACAACAACATTTTTCCATGTGTACATAAGGCAAAGAGTCAGAGAATGAACTTTTTTTTCGCTTCCTTATGTACTTTTTGGTGTAGAAGAATAAAACAAAATAAAAAAAATGTGAAGCAGCAGCAGTGCTGTGTATGCGAGAGAGAGAAACTTTTATTTATTTTTTTTTTTTGCATGGTGGTTTGGAAAGCTCTTCTCGATTTTACAACAAGGGGGGAACTTTTGGGAGTTTGCTGTGCGTTTTCTAAGATCTTATCGCATCGGAATATTCTTGTTTGGGTTCTTATCTATTTTCTTGGGTTCATGTCTAATTGTTTGACTGATTTTTTTTCTTTGAACATGTTTATCCTCCTTTATGTTGCTATAGCTGGATTTTTTTGAAAATTTTTGGTTTTTTAATGAATGTTTTTTTGAATTCTTTAATTTTTGGAGTTAAGGACTTCATGGATTGATCTTTAGGCTTATAAATTTATTAAGGAAACACTTCATTTCCTTAGTGTAAATTTGAATGCAAGTTAATCTATTTTACACAAAATAATCATCAGAATCTAAATTGTTGAATAGTCCTAGTTTAAGATGATAGAACTTCCAAAGAAAAAATTCTTTTTCAAACTTAATGCAGCAAAAGCAGAAAAGCGTAGTGGTTGGAACAGAGTTTCTCAAAACTCAGCCTACGGAGCAGTTAATTTTCGGTTAAACCGTGTAGCTGCTCCTTTAATCATTTCTAGCGCTCCGTCGAGTATAGTTGGAGAGTCACTGGGTTAGAGTATTGGTAAAGTGACCTCAGTTTGATTCCAGGGTACGAAAAATTGGATTTGAGAACTTTCTTCTAGTTTTATAAATGCAACTAGGTTTGTTAAAATATCAACCATATAAATTATCGCTAGCTCTAATGATATGCTTTACCTTAGGTCATGCAACTATATGAAGAGGTCTTTAGTATTTGTACTGTTGCGAGCATTGTGCAAATCCTTATCATATCGTCCATGTATTGGTTTAAAAGATCGGTCTTTGGTGGGAATCGAACCAATGTCTTCACAAATGAGGTATGTTGCCTAACGACTCGTGTCACAGAGGCTTAACTCTCGAACTTGCAGACTAGTCTACATATGGCTTTGCTAGACATACTAATCTTGTTTTAAGTTCAACTAGTTTTATCCAAGCTAGTCCTTTGAAATTCATTGTCTAACCTAAAAATCCTTATCCAAAAACCAGAAGTTTCCCTCGCAAATCCCAAAATTTCCATATCCCATTCCAAAATACAGGCCTTCCACTTCAACAGAAGTCTACACACTCAACCCTCTTTCTTCCTTCTCATCCTCTTATCAACATAATCATCAACCCAAATCTACAATACATATCCGTATCACATACACACACCGCATATCAAGGAAAAATCTTCTTATGCTGCGAAATTGCAAGTGCTTATGTTGATGTATTGGTAAAAGGATATTTTTTTTATTCTTCAACCCCTTTTTATGCCTTGTGCAATTTATGTACACATACAGGTTCCTGCTTACTCTCTCTCACTCGTTTACTCTCTCAAATTCGGACAATTTTTTTTGCTTATGCAGGGAATGAATATATAGAAAGCAAGGAACTGCATATTAACAGGGAAAGTGGGGTTCTATATTTGATATTGATGCAATATGATGAAAAATAAGCATGCAATGTAGATGACATGCGTTAGATATGTTGCATTGCAAGGAAAATTTATGCTGTAGGCGCATGGATGGGGTGCATTTTTAGTTTGTTTATTGATCGAGGGAATTGATTCTGGCCTGGCTAGTTTCTGTGTTGTCTGATGAATCACTAGCTTTAGTAATCTCAATTTTTAAATTCAAATTAATTCATTTTCCAAAGAATTGCACACAAAAATTAATCAGAAAAGAAATGCGATTAAAATGTGAATCCACGGCACATAAAAAATACATTTCCATCGAATTTTTTCAATGAATTGAAGTAAACAACTTTACATGTATTGAGTTTGCCAAAGCATTTATTTACTCTACGCACTTTTTCAGCTGTGTTATCACAATTTGTATGCGATGATGTAGTGAATAGATGAAAAAAATGTTGAATACTATTTGTCAGACTGAAATTGTGGCGTTATCTGGCGAAAATGGAAACCTTTTTTTATGTGTACACTTTGAAAAGACCTTGGGAATGGCACAAAATGTAATCTTAAATGATGATATTATTGTTTTGGGGTTAGAACGCATTTTTGGAGGGAGTTATTGTGATAAAATGATGTAAGGTATGTGGAAATTTTGAAAACTGCAAAAAGTCGTTGAACTCATGTGTTAATTGTGACTCTCGAGTAAGATGAGAGGTGTTTTGGATTTTTCTGACAGGGGAGATCAGCTCTTTGAGACTTTTAACAGGGATTTGTTTTTCTGGTGGGATTTGAACCCACATCACATCAAAAACAGCTGATTGATATCCAGTTCGTTATCTAAACACTTAACTTATGGTTCCTACACTGGCATTGGTAAATTCCAGAGGTCGAAGCGAGCATAGCGAAGCGAGTTTTTAGCGAGTTCGCTTCGCCAAAAATTCAACTTGCTAAAGTCGACCTGTAGTGAGAAAAATTTTTTTTTCTTTTCGCCTTAGCGACCTATAGCGAACTCAATTTTATTTTTTTCGCTTCAGCGAACTATTAGCGAACTTAATTTTTCAAAGTTCGCTATAGCGAACTATTGGCGAACTAGAAAAAAAATTTTGGCTTCATATAAAGAGATGTCTGATTGCGTTTGTGAAGTATGTAATTTCATACAAAATTGCAAAAAATTATAGTTCGCCAATAGTTTGCTATAGCGAACTTTGAAAAATCAAGTTCGCTAATAGTTCGCTAAAGCGAAAAAAATAAAATTGAGTTCGCTATAGTTCGCTAAGGCGAAAAGAAAATTTTTTTTCTCGCTACAGTTCATTTTTGGCAAGTTGAATTTTTAGCGAAGGTAAATTCGCTTAAATGTGCCTTGATACCCTAGTTTTAACTCTATTCCGACTCTATAGACTCCCTTCAACCTCAAAAAAATCTTAAATCTTCATGATTCATTCAAAATAGTCAATATTTTATTGTCATTAAATGTCAACTATTCAGCTAAGGTTATCATCAACTTCTGAACATAGCAAAACACTTACTAGACAAAATGTCTATCCCAACCCCCTCAACCCTCCCTAAAGAAGCTTCCATAGACAAACAAAAATAGTTTCAATTGAATAATATCAAAAAATAATGCCGCAGAGTCTTTTTTTTATCATGCACAAATATTCAATTGTATACATCAAGCAGCTCCAAACGAGGAGGAAAATAAAAATGCGAAAACTACACAGAAATAAGGGAATTAATCAATGTTCTGATAAGGAAATGTCGAATGTATATTTTTTTTAACGCACTTTATGCGTTTCGTGTATGCGAGGCTTGATGATAAGGCGAAAAAAAATTTTGATGGTGAATGAATGAGATTATCATTGAAAGACTACATTGTTGCTGATATGGAGACATTGTAGCTGAACAATCTGAATATGTTATGAATGAATTTTTTTGCTTTAGAAT